TATATATATATATATATATTTAAGCTCATCTTGTTTTGTGGTGCCTGGTTAAGGGATTTATTATAATTGGTGGCTTATAAAATTTAGCGTGCTTGTGCAGAGGGGTTGGAAAAGTGGGACGCAAGTGCTTAAAATAAATATAAATGAGTCAACATGATAGAAGGAAAGGCAGTCCTGCTTTGTGTAATCTGTGTTGACGCTCTTCTCCATGTTCTTAAAACAGCAGGAAACTATGCTTGAAAATAATAACAATAATCACAACAGACACAACAATAATCACAGGCCTGAAGCTTTCTTTCATTGAAAAACCAATGTCTTTGCTCCCAGCATGTCTGCCTAGCACAGACTGCCTTCCCTTAGTAGAGACAGGACAGGCATACATTCAACTGGTGTAGTCTGTTAATGATTACAGGTAGTCCTCGACTTACGACCACAATTGGAACCGGAACTTCTGTCGCTAAGTGATGTGGTTGTTAAGTGAGTCACACCTGATTTTATGACATTGTTTGCAATGGTCATTAAGCGATTCTGGCTTTCCCCATTAACTTTGCTTGTTGGAAGCCCCTCGGGAAGGTCGCAAATAGCAATCACGTGACCCCGGGACACTGCAACTGTCATAAATAGATGCTGGTTGCCAAATTTTGATCATGTGACTGCGGGGATGCTGCGATGGTCATAAGCATGAGAACAGGTCACAAGTCACTTTTTTCAGCCCCTTTGTAACTTCAAACGGTCGTTAAACAAATGGTCGTAAGTCAAGGACTGCCTATACGGCATGTTGGAGAAAGCTATGCCAACTGAATTTCTGCCTGTCTTCATGTCAACAGTGAAATTCTGTCAGAGAAATGGAAAATTCCAGCTTGAGGCAGGAGAAGCATTTCTCTGAGAGGACTAGCAATGCCTGGCAGAAAAAACGGGATTGCATGAATAAAATATGTCTCCCAGAGTTAGGCTAGTCCTAATTTTAAGCATGAGATCACTAGACTTTGAGACAAGGTGGTGTGGCAGCTAGATTGTCATAGCTACTGGGTTCTGGAGTAGAAATATAAGATAATTTCACCAGAGTTGTCATTTGCAATGAATCTAAGTTCGTCTCTGCTACAACATGAATATGAGCGTCCATCATGTTCCTGATTTTGTCTAGTCAAAATCTGCAAAATAAAATGAAATTTAAAATAAAATAAAAAGTGCCTGTAAACAGTGCTGTAGTAGTTATGCTATTTTTTTTTTTAAAGGGGGGAGTTATATCAGGAGAATTTGTGTTTTAAAAGCCCTGTTGGCAGAAAAGTATATGCCAAAGATTAAAAGTTGGATGACTCGTATTTAAAAAAAAATAAAAGATTCCTTGATGATTTACATTAACTGTTACGCAAGTTGGAGTAAGACTCATGTGAACCCTCTCTGTGATATTCGTGGTGGGTGATTCGAATTTTTCTGTTTGAAAAGAAAAATGCCAGATAGATGGGAGAGGATTTTAGCAGGATTTTTACGGATTTGCGTATCTCAATTCTGAAATACTGAACGGACTAAAATGTCCTCATCCCCAGGATCACGACCCAAGTGTGGATGTTGGGTAATGGAGTCACAGACAGCCCCCCCTGTATGGGATTCACGTGTAAGCAGATTTTATGATAAAAGCAACCCAGGAAGGAAAGGAATACAGATGTGCTTGGACACCCCCAGATGTAAGAAACTTGCTTGACAGAATGTTGTCAAAGTGTTCTGATATAGGATGATGTCTAGATTAAAGATAGGATCACATCTATCACACACACACACACACACACACACACACATCTTCTAAAGCAGTGTTTCTCAACCTTGGCAACTTTAAGATGTGTGGACTTCAACTCCCAGAATTCCAGAATGTTGTCAAAGTGTTCTGATATATGATGATGTCTAGATTAAAGATAGAATCACATCTATCTCACACACACACACACACACACACACACACATCTTCTAAAGCAGTGTTTCTCAACCTTGGCAACTTTAAGATGTGTGGACTTCAACTCCCAGAATTCCCCAGCTAGCCATACCGAACAGGGAATTCTGGGAGTTGAAGTCCACACACAGTTGAAGTCAGGGTTGAGAAACACTGTTCTACAGTATTCAGTAGGTGATCATAAGTAACTTTTTCTTGCCGAGCAGCTGAAGTGATAGGAAGAACATTATTTTTTCCCCCTGTGTATTAAAATGTATATAAAAGAAAAAAAATAAGGGTGGGTAACGGGAACAAGTATTATTGTTGTTACTATTAAATATTGGTTTTACATGGGAATACTCAGCCATCTGGCTGTTTTATTAAAGAGGTGTTATTATCAGTTTGAACCAGCTCATGAAGAGAAAATGAGAATTCAGAGGAAATTGAACTCTCTCAGTCAAAAACAGAACAAAAATCAACGCAAGAAAAACAAACCCAAACTATTTTTCAGAAGTCATTATTTATCTTCAGATCCAGGTTAAAAAAAACCCCCACAGGATATCTAAAATTTTCAGTTGAGAATATACAAAAAAGGCATAATAAAATGGCTTTACATGGGTTGATAATTGATTTAAACATTGATGCAATAGGTAAGGAAGCAATGCATCTAGGATTAAATGCATAGTAACAATCAATAAATTACAGTCCTAAAATAAAAAAAGACAGTAACGAAATAATTATCGATATGTTTAACTGCCTTCCCCATTTTAACTAGAATATATTTCCCCCCTATTTTTCATTAGAGGGAACTGAAATGAGGAAAATTCTTAAAATTCGGTATTTTCCCCTAATATGTAACTCTTGTTAAATATAGATATGCTAACAATCTGCCCAATGAATGTGTAATAAAACTATTAACTCTCTAGCATCACTTGAGGAATCTCTCCCACCCTCATTTTGTGATGAATCTCTATCAGAGAAGGAATTTGGGGAAGGGTATCTCCCTGGATGTACAAGAAGAATGATTGGGAAGAAGAAAGAGAAGCAGATTATCAGGCTGATAGCAAAAAATACAAGAAAATTAGTGTATTTCTCAAAATGACAGCCAGTTTAATGTAGTAGTGGAGGCACCAGGCTAGAAACTGGGAGGCCATGAGTTCTTGTCCCACTGGGCACGAAGTCAGCTGGTGAGGTTGAACCAGTCAATTTTCTCAGCCCAGGAACAAAGCAAGGGCAAACCACTTCCAAAAATCTTGCCAAGAAAGCTCCAGGGACTCATCCAGGCAATTGCCAGGAATCTGAAGACACCAAAAAAAAAACCCCGAAAAGAACCCACCACCTCAAAATGTTGGATTGCTGCTTGTCTACGTAGTCATTCCGTGCCAGAATGGTGGCTTGGCCCCAAGGCAAAGTTCTACAACTGTGAAGAATGCTCTTGAAAGCAGCCATCTCGTTTTTAGTTTTTATTTTGCAGTTCTGGCCTTTTCTTTTCTCTCTGGACCTGAAAACCTGGGTTTCTACTAAGCTGGTGGTCCTTTCTTCTTGAAGAAGGAGCTTTGAATGCACCTTTGAGATTCATGCCCAATGTTAAGACTATTATTATTTGTAGGGCAAAGAGTTTTTCCGCATCATTCTTTCTTTAAAAAACAGTAACAGCCCCAAGGATGATAACATTGCTTATGGCATATAGTGGGTTTAAGTCAGCAGAGTCCTTTTAAAATCTATCCAATCAAACTGGTTTAACTCCAAATGGTCAGGATCAATGATCTTGTTGATCGCCATCATTGATGGCTCAGCTCATGGATGTTTGCTTATTTCTTCACTGGCTTTGAGTTGCTGAAGGTGACAAAGACAACCCCTGTTTCTTGGTGACCATCATCTGAAAGGAAATTTGCTGGGCTGTTTAGATATTGACGAAGTATTGGAGAAGCAGTCACTTCATATCTGGTAGGGCAAGACACCATGTCACACGTGGAGGAAGTCTGAGTCTCTGATTGTTTAGTGACTGTAGTGGACGATGTAATGATTTTGTTTCCAAATTCATCCACCTCCTCATACTGCTCTGTCACCGTTCGGGTAGCCCCGTAGAGTTTGGATCCATCATGGCTTGTTTGCAACTCTAGAATACTTTTCTGTCTCCTTGGATTTGAGGGGCTTAAAGCACTTAGAGAAGACTTGGAAGTAAAATCCGAAGCTATTCCTTGGACAGCGTCCTTTTCCTTCGCACCATTACTGCTCAGGTGATGAGCAAAATGTCCAGGACTGCCGAGGTGTTGCTGTTTAATTAAACTTCCTCCTTTTTTAATCTGGATGACCTCCTCCTGTTCCCCTTCACAGGAAGTCCTGCTGTAGCCATCGGATCTCATCGGTTTACATGGCAGGGAGCTGAAACGTTTTGGTGAGAATGTTTCTCTTTCGATGGCTGCTTCCGTGGGGTTTGATGAAGCTAAAGGCCCGACGTGGGGAGATTCTATACTTTTTCGTGCTGCCGATTGAATGGAGATGTAGGAAGGAGAAGAAGGAGAGGTCGATCGAGGCTGAATGACATGAGGAACTTCCAGTGACAGTTTGCGTGCCTCTTGCTGATCAGACACCTTTTCTCCTTCCCATGACGAGTTTTGTATCCCTTTTTCTTGTTTGGCTTTGCTGGAAATGATACTGATTTTGCGGATATTGTTCCCCGCCGGAAGGCTCTGAGAATTCCCCAGAGACTCCTTGAGAAGACCTGAGAGCCCAGCTATGTCTGACTCAGACTTGAGGCTAGAAATGGAATAGAGAGCTTTCTTAATGGCTTCTTCAATATCCAGGAGTCTACTTAGTGTCTGCTCCTTCAAATGAACAATCTCAGCACTGGCTCGCTCTAGATCTTCAAAAGCCAACTCTACTGAGGAAACACTCTCTGCATCTTCTTTAACTTCCTTCAACTGTTCAGCTTTCTCTACTTTGGGCTGTTTCGTCTGGTGAGGCTTTCGATCTGCCACCCAATCGGCCACATTCTCAAAGAGGTTTCTCAAGGCTTTCACATCCACCTTTGAGGTCTCCTCTTCAAACTCCTTCACTTGCGTTAAGATTTCCTGGAGCGCCTCCTGTCTTCGTAAGTTTTCAAATATCTCCATGGCTTCCTTGACGTTGCCTTTCATGATCTCCTCTTTATGGACGGATAATCTCTTGCGACGCTCTTCTTCGGTTTCTTTGCCAGCTTTTTCCCTCATGACCACTACTGGATTTTCCTTCTCTGTGTTCCAGTCATTCTTCATTTCTGGATCTCTTAAGCCACCACTGTTCTCAGTCTGATGTCCTTTAAAAAACTGTTCGGCTTCTAAAGCTGAAGATACTGAAAGAGCAGATTCTGACCTGTCTGCCTGTGATTCCACACTTGTTCTTTCTGACTTTGACGATGGGGTGTGTGTCATGACAGTTCCTTTCCTCAGAATATTTGCATGGCACTTTGCAGACAAATACGGCTTCCTCTGAGTTTCTAGGTTAGGAAGACCCATTTGGCATTCAAAAGGTGTGAGAGAGTCTTGCTTCTCAGATACGGCACATATCTTTTCTTTTTGGGATGTCTCCTGGAACCTTTGAAGGTCCTTCGTTAGATGACAGTTTCCTTCTTCATGACTATCCAATCCAGTTTTTACTGGCTTTGACAAAGAGCTGTGGCCAGTCAATTCCACTCTGGTCCTCTCTTCCTTCCTTGCCTTAGATTTTTCTTCTTCATCTTGCAGAGACAACTTGATTATATCTTTTACTGCCTTCTTCTCAACATTGATGTCCTCAACATTGGTCACTATGGGTGAAGGAGACACCCCTGGACCCTGTCTACATACGGATTGTCCCCAGATCTCAGCTCCACAAGATGCTCTTGCTTGGTTCACCATAGGCAAGGTGCTGGGCTTGTTCTGTTCAATCAAGGTGGGAGACTTGGGAGGAAAAGCAAGTGGAGGTGCCTTTCCTGATTGTCCTTTGTTGCATCCTGCGGGGTGGGGCAGTGCCTCCTTCAAAAGGAATTCTGGTTTTGGGGGGAGAACAGGCTTCTTCCTTGGTGGGGCAATGACATCTGGCTTGGGTGGGAGCTGTGGCTTCTCTGGAAGTCTCTGATGACCCGCTTGGGCTGGGGCAAGTGAGGGAGTTTTGGGGTCGTGTGGCTGCGCAGGTGGGGAACGGCACAGGACTTCAGCTTCTCTTGGCTGGGGCGAGGGTGGGTGGCCATCAGGCCTCATCAATGAAGCTGGAGGAGGAGGAGGAGGAGGAGGAAAGTCATTAACACCTTGTGAGCCCACAGCTGGTACAGTAATTCCCTGGTCACTAACACACTCAGCTTCCTGTTTCTTTTTACCCATGGAATAAGACTGCCCCGCACTCCTGTATATCATGGCTGCTTTAAAATCCCCTTGGGACACATTAACGTTAGACTTTTCCAGGGACTCGAGCGCGGCTTTTAAGTTGCCACGGACCACGTCCTCTTTCTCTACTTGTCTCTGCTCTGTTGCAGCGTTCTGCAGGGCTCTGATAGCTGTTTTTACATCCCCTCTGATTACAACGTCTTGCTCGCGTTCTTCTGGAACGGAGTGCTCTTGGTAGTCAGATTCAAGGAACGGGTTTACATAGGACTTCATGGGCTTGGCTGTGTAAAGGCCGTCCTTAATGCTATGATCTGTCCTAGGTAACACTTGGCTGGCTTGCTGGGGCGCAAGTGGCAGTGTCCCTCCCTGTCCTTCCTCAGGGTCACTGACCTTTAGGAGCAAGGACGCCGTGCTCTTCTGAGATGGACTGACACAGGACGGGGATGTCTCCTGCCTTCTAGGAGAGGACACATTGCTAGTTGGCTGTCGCTTGCTGGCCTCACGGCCTTCTTTGTGTACCGTGCTTTGCAGGGTCTCTGCTTGGGGTTGGGTGCTGCTCAGCTGCATATTGTCGGTCATCTTTTGCAGCTTGCTCTGCACTTGTTGCTGCAGAGTTTTAGCTTCTGCTGTGGCTTTCCTTAGACTCTGCATTGCAGCTTGAAGATCACTCCCGGGAACCCGTGCTGTGGGTTGAGCTGTTATTAAGTTGGTTTCTCCTCCCTTGAAACCATAGGTAGCTCCAGCCAGGTTCTGATCTGCCACTTGTATGGCCGTTCTTTCCTTTCCATCCTCCAGAACTATTTGTTCTCCAAATGCTCTTTGGCCACCATTCTGTGCTCTTTCCACCGACTGGAAGGGCGATGAAACATTCTGAGGAACTATGTTTTCTTTGGATAATGATGGGGTCCCAGATTGTACTGGATGATAGGGAGTAGGACTCTGATGATTGACATGTAGGACTTCCTTTTCTAACATACCTTCTTTGCTCTTCCAGAATAATGTTTGCTCAGCCCAGTCATTATTCCCTTGTGTCACATTTGCTGTTGTTGCTCCTTTCTTGTTCTGTACCTGGGCTGGTGCCTCAGCTTCTTGCACAATTTTTGGTGGTTCTTCTTTTGCTTGTGAAGAAACTAGGGATTCTATCTCTGAATCCCTTTGGAGGTTCTTTAAGTAGTCAAGATCTCCCTTCTCGATGCAGCGAGTGTACAACTGGACGTTGCCCTTCTCGTTGTCCTCTCGTCTGATGGTTGCTGTGGTTCTCTGCTCTTGTGAAGAAGTAAGAAGATTCCCAATCACTGACTTCACATCACCCTTCACAAATGTATGCTGTTGAGCAACCCACTGATGGAGAGAATAAATAATCATCTTTGTTGATCCTGTATCTGTCTCCTGCATAACTATTCCTTTCTTAATTGAGCTCTCTTGGTTGAGAAGTTCTTGAAGAGTCCTTGCCATGTCATTCCTCATGTCCTCTTTGCTTTTCTCAGGTTTGTTAGAGTCCAACAGCTGTATAGGATTAATTTTGATACCCCCATTCTCCTCTTCTCGCACTAACATCCCCCAGGCCTCCACATTGCTACTCTGAAGTAATTGCAACAAGACCATTTGCAAATTGCCTCCTACAATCTTTTCCTTTTGGACTTTGGGGGCTTCTTGGTTACTAAGTTGATATGTTGCCATCCTGATACCCTCAGCATTATTGGCTTCAATAAGGATGCCATTATTTTGGATCAGTTGATGGGAGAAGAAAAGTTCCAAAGTATCTGATGGTGTCCTCTCTTTTGTCTCTATTTCTGTGTCACGTTGAAGAGAGCTGAATTTATCCAGAGGGGTACTTTCAAACAACCATGTAGTGCTTTTTACACTGGCTTGAGGAATCCCCTTTAGGGGTTCTGTGCTTGTTGAAGCTTCTGTGTCTTTAAGACTGTCCATCGGTTGAGTCTCAAATAGCCAAGTGCAGCGTTTGACATCTCCTTTATGGATATCTTCCCTCTGGACAGTAGTCAAGCTGGAGGCACTTTCAGGGTCTCCTTTCAAGGAATCCATGGGCTGATTTTCAAAAAGCCAGGTAGATGTCCTTACATCCCCCTGCTGGACATCACTGACGCTAACCATCCTCACATACTTCTTTTGGCCAAGTTGTTCTGACTCAAATAGTTGCTTATTAGATTGGACATCTCCCTTCTGTACATCCTCAACACTCTTCAAGATAGGCCTCTTTTCTTCAGCAATGGAATCTAGAGGCTCTGTTTCAAATCTCCACCTGGCTGATTGGACATCTCCCTTCTTGAAATCTTCTTGCGTTACAGCTCTGATCACAAAGACCTCTTCATCTTTCTTGATTTGATCCAATGGTTTTGTCTCAAATTGCCATCGGGCACCTTTCACATCACCTTTTATGACCTCTTCCTTCTTCACCGATGTCACTTCATGATATCCTCCATCTTTGTCCTGAATAGCATATAGTGGTTGGGTCTCAAACAGCATAGTGCAAGAGGTGACGTTGGCCTCTCTTGATGTTTCTTCCTGGATTTTCTTGATTTGCATCTCATTTTCTTTTTCATGGATCTGATCAAGAGAGTAGGTTTCAAAAATGAATCTTTTGCTCCCAACATCTCCACCTTGAATGTCCTTTTCCAGAGTTATCTCTTGAAGACCCTCTGTACTGCTCTTTAAGGTGTCCATGGGGCAATTTTCAAAGAGCCAAGTGAACTTGTGTACAGCCCCAGGTTCAATGTTCCCATCTCCTGGGCTAGGACTTTCTTTCATGACTGTCCTTGATTTAGCTGCTGAATCCAAAGGTTTGGCTTCAAAAAACTCCTTTACTCTGGACACTTCTCCAGACTGTATCTCCACCCTGCTGGAGCACCTGATTATTTTCTGGCTATTACCAGTGACATTACTGGATAGAGGTTCCATTTCAAAGAGGTGCCTGACAGTTTTCACATCTACCCCTTGTAATTCATCCTGGTGGAAGGTCTTTCTGACCTGCAAGTGGTGCTCTTCTTGACCTTTCAATGTATCCAAGGGCTGGGTTTCAAACATCCATGTATATGATTTGACATCAGCTTGAGGAACAGGGTCTTCTTGGTTCTCCTTTATCTCATCCTTCTCACATAGGGCATCAATTGGCTGTGTCTCAAACAACCACCTGCAAGTCTTTACATTGCCCCCTTGAGAAACCTCTCTTTTCTCAGAAATGTTCTGTTCTGCTTGGTTGACTTGGCTATGGATGACATCAATGGGTTGTGTTTCAAAGAGCCACTTGGCTGTCTTAACATCTCCAGCCATCATCTCCTGCTTAGTGATGCCCCTGATCACATCCACTTTTTGGATACTCTCATCAAACTCATCTAAAGGCTTGGTTTCAAACATCCATTTGTAATTTTTAACACCTCCACTGGTTACTTCCTCATCTCTACTCACAGAGGTGACCTTGTGGAAATGGCCCAAGCAGTCCTTAATAGCATACAAAGGTGTTGATTCAAACAGGAACTGACTGGTTTTCACCTTCCCAGAAGTTATGTCTTCTTCTTCCTTGGTGACCTCCTCAGTGCTTACTTGCCTGATGCTATCTAAAGGAAGAGTCTCAAAGAGATTCTTGAATGCTTTCACATCCCCTTTCTCTACCTCTTGGACCTGTGCAGTAGAGAAATCTTCAGCTGGAGATTTTGAGATGCTACTGAAAGGGTAGGTCTCAAAAATATGCTTTGTTTGCTTCACAGCTCCTTTCTCATCTTCTGAAAGTTCTACTCTTTTTAAATGCCCAACTTCAAAATGATCTTTCAGGGTTTCCATAGGTTGGGTTTCAAATAACCAAAGAGTTGATTTTACATCCCCTTTGATAACTTCTTCTTTAGCTGGAAGGCTGTTGGAGGATTCTCCTTTCAGAGTGTCAAGAGGCTGAGTCTCAAAAAGTTGACACTGTTTGCTGACATCAGCTCCTTGGATAAGATCTGGAGAAGCCTTGAAATCTGCTTCGGTCACCGTGAACTCCTTTATGGCATCTAGAGGTTGAGTTTCAAACACCCATTTTGTTCCACTGACATTTCCCCTGGCAGCCTCCTCTAGAGATATCCCCCGAATGACCTGCACTTTGGAAGTATCTTTGTTGATGGTGTCCAGTGGCTGGGTTTCAAACAGCCACCGAGCTGTCTTCACGGAGTTGGTCTGTATTTCTTCTCTGCAGATGGATTTGATCTCATGAATGCTTCCACTTTTGTCCTGGAGAGCACAGATGGGTTCAGTCTGGAAGAGCTTGATGGTTTTATTGACCCCACCTTTGAGTTCCTGCATTTCTGACTTAAGCTGCAGGATATTCTCCTCCTCCACTGAACTGCAGTGACCCAAGGCATCTAAGGAGTGGGTTTCAAAGAGCCGTGCTGCTCCTTTCACATCTCCCCTCTCAACAGGCTCTTTCAGGACTGCCTCTTGCAAATCTGTCTCATCCAAGTACATTTTGTTTAAAGAGTCTAAAGGTTGAGTTTCAAATAACCACCGAGCAGTGTATACATCCCCTTTCGTTTGTTGTGGCTCTGATGCTTTGGCTGAAGGGAGCAGCCTGTCTCCATGAGAAGGCTGGCCTTCAAACCTCATGGACCTATTCTTCACATCTCCACTTGGGATGGCTTCCTCCTCAGCCAGCTTTTTGGCAGTTTGACGTTCCCCAATGGAGTCCAGGGTCCAGTTCTCAAAGATCCAACGCATGGATTGAACTTCTCCTGGAAGCACGGCATCGGGAGTCACTGGCTCATTAGGGTCATCTGGACTCAACATTTCTGCCAGGTCTTCTGTCACAGCCTCTTCCAGATTTTTCCTTAACTCAGGATGCATGTGGCGGTAGAGTCTTTTCAACTCATTCACTTGGCGTTGCTGATAGAACTTGGAGAAAGATTCTTTAGGTGGCGGTACAGGAAGAGAACTGGAATCCTGGGTCACGGGAGCAGCAGGAGAGTCCTGGAGGTGAGGAACAGCAGCAGCAGGAGGCGGTGGTAGATCTTCCACTGCTTTCTTGACATTTGCCCTGGAAGTCCTTTCACTCTGAGCCTCTGCCATCTCTAAGGAAACAGTGTTTTCAGCATCAGTATAATCCCTCCATCAACCATCCTGTTAGTGTGAAAGGCCAAACTCATGCAGCAGCTTGGGTTAATATTGAAAATAGGTCTCTTTGATCCAGACCTCTGACACACACACACACACACACACACACACACACGGCACCCCACACCGCTGAGAATTCCACCATCAGTACCACTGTGGGACTGAGTGGGGTAAAGAGATGTCTAACTTGAGCAAGAGGCTGCAAGACGAAGTCTGTCACAGCTCTGGGAGGCACTCTGATGTCTGATGCCTTATTCGGACATTCCAGAAAGGAATGGCATCAGATACGGGTAACGGACAGAAGAGGGGGAGAGGGAGTGGAGAGGGCAGTTCCTTCGTGCGTAACTGCTGGCATTCAGACATTTGCCATCTGGTCCTTGTGAACGCACTCCTCCCCTTTCTCAGGAGCCTCTCCCGCTACAGGCTCAGATATATCTTGGAACTGCCTTGGTCCTAACTCTACTGATGCTACAGGAGAGCTGAAGAAACAGCATTCACAGCACTCACTGGATAGGAATGTCAAGGGAGGAGCTTGCAAGCCACAGCTCTCGCTCATGCTAAAGCATTATACCCAAAGGCTTGGAGTGAACAATGTCCACTCATTTGGGGGAGAAGCTCTCCGTCCCCATCCCCCAGCTTTGAGTAGGCTCTGCTTTGACACTGTTTGCTGGATTCCTCCTGTGAGCTCCTCTCTGGCAGGTTTGGAAGTTGCTGATCATTTCTCGCATTGCCTGCTCACTCAGCAGAACCAGCAAATAGGAAGGAGAGTATGACGCAACTCCAGCGATCGGTTTTGGGTCCCTGTGATTGTCTGGACAGTCTCGTTTAGAGCTCATGCCTTAGACAGAGATACTAAATTAAAGGATGAGTACCGCTGGGTCTCCTTATCTTTCTCTCCCTCATTCTGCAGTAAAGTAGAAGAATTATATGTCAGATAACAGCGGGAGCCTTGGTGTAAGTGGTACATCAAAGCTGCAATGTTGCTTTTCAAAGAACGTGCCTGCAATGTTTTCATACTGTGAAGGGTATCTGTCTCCTTTTCTGTTATCCTTACCAGCTGCAAAGCAATTCTGTCTCTTGGGATTTCCTATTATCGTATTCATGACTTCAAACTGTCCTTGATCAATATTCTATATCAGAACTTAGACATGCCTGGGTGCAAGGGACCAATAACTCAATCTAGCTTGCTACCTTAAGAAAGTAAAATCATTGTATGGATCCTCTCCAGTTGCTGGTGTTTCTTGGGTGAGGTTTTTTTTTTTTTAATCATTACTTCATTATTACTGTCATGGGATGAAGGAGTAACCTTGAGGAACAGGAGGAAGAGTCGCCACCAAGACAACAGTCAGATAAAAGAAATTTGAGTCTGAGGCAGAAATGTAATTTGAGAAAGCGTCTCAGGCAAGACCCTCCCTCATCCTCCCAAAGATAAAGGGAGAGAGGGGGGAAGTACATTCAGACTTGCAACGTTCTGTAATTGTAACCCTATAATAAAAGTAGTACAGGTAGTCCTTGGTTAATGACCATTCGTTCAGCGACTGTTCATGGTTATGATGGCACTGAACAAGGAGACTCATAACCAGCCCTTGAAGTTGTGGCTGTTGCGGTGCCCCTGCCATCACATGATCATGATTCGGGCACTTGGCAACCGGCTCACAATTACGACAGTCACAGCTTCTCATGGTCACATGATCACCATTTGCAACCTTCACTGCCATCTTCTGACAAGCAAAGTCAGTGGGGAAGCTGGCAGGAGGCCATAAACAGTGATCACATGATGTGCACTTAACGACCACATGGGATTCACTTAATGACCACGACTGGAACTGCTGGAACTGCCATCATAAGTCAGCGTGGTCACATGACATCATGCTTTACAACCATGTCGCTTAGCAACAGAGTTGCCAGTCCTAATTGCCATCATTAACTGAGGACTACCTGTATTAGGGTTCATAACTTTGGTTTCCTAGTCTGGACTACCTTGAAGGGCTGACAATTACCCAGGACAAGAATATTGTGAAATCCTTTCTCAGTTAAGTCCTAAAGGTAATGGCCATCTTGGTCAGGGTTCAGGCAAATCTTGGATGTGGGCAAATCTTCCAAATTCAGGTCCTTTGAAGGCGAGCTAGTCTCCTAGTGATTTTGTGGACACATTTATACAGGTATTTACAGACATGATTTGCTGTGGATTGCTTACAGGATGACTTTTGAACTTCCCAACTGAGTCTACAACTCTATGATTCTCTGGTATGCCTCCCATGCAGCTACTGACTGGATTTGATCTTGCTTAGCTTCTGAGCCCAGAGAAGGTAGTCAAGTAATGCCAGCTTCTACAGCTGGCAAATCTACAGGAAGAGGGAAAGACACAGTGGAAGAAAATATCAGGAATATTTTTCATTCCATTGCAATCAGGGCCTGAATGGATTGGCCTAGCAGAACATCCTGAAGAGATCCCTGCATTAACATATATGAACCCCATCCCACCTCCCCTACTTTTTTAACAAGGTGAGCTCTTCAGCTATACGCAGAAATATTAAAAATATTTTTAAAATATTATTTTTTTAATAAACAAGAAACGAATATATGAGTAAGCCGGAAGAAGGAGAAGAAAAGAAACAGCGTTTGCAAAGCAGTTCGGTATTAGTGAAGTTTCAAAAACACGATTATTTTGACGGACATCCTGAATCACACAACTGCAGACAGCTGACTGCAGAAACTGGGTTAGCCAACATGCTGTATTCCAAGAAGGTCCTACCTGCTTGCTTACTGGTTATCAAGAGTATTATAAGGGATCTTGTGTATGAAATTCTGAATAGAACATAGAAAAACAGAAAAGCAGTTTAGGGCGATGCATGATTTATACATAGGGGGGTGTATAATATAAATTCAACATAATAAAACTGCAATTGTTAAGTCTAATGCTACAAAGTGCTTTTCATGATTTTATGTGTATGATGTATGGATAAAATGTCCAGCCTGCATTTGCTTGTTAGTTATGACGCAAGATTGCTCTCCCCTTGTCCCAAATCACGGTGCAAACATATTCTGGTCAGTCCCAAACCCAAAGTCCCAAACCCACTTTTCTGAGGTGGGTTCTTCATCTCCTCCCCAATGAGTTGGCCTTAAGTAGTAGGTATTCAAGTAGCATTTTCCTCCTTTTTTCCATCATTGACCAAGGACAGCTTCAAAAATATGATCTCTCTCTGGTTTTGTCACCCCCTAATCTGGGGGAAAGGCAGGTGAAAAAGCCAAGGAAAATAGCAATGGGGTCATAACATCTCAAGCCTCCATAGTTTTCTGCCAACCCAAGGATGAGCGGGCAGCTCAGAAACGGGTAAATGTCATAGTTAATTTATGGCCACAGCATTCTGTGAATCACAACTAGGTCTCTCGGACTTGATAGGGGTTACAGACCTCTAACTGGGAATCTGTGTATCTTAATACCCATCTGATTGCCAGCAGAATTTCTGGCAGTTATGCTGGTTATAATAATAGTTCTGTTGGACAGGGATATACAACATCCCCAATTGTAGGAGAGTTCACCTTTCCCAGCTTGAGGCTTTGGAGGTCAGTAGCCCATGATTCCCAGCCAGCATGGCTGGGAGTTATGGGAGGTGAAATCCAACCCTTTTGAATGGCATTGGGTTGAGGAAAGCTGGTACAGACCTACCTCTAAGATCCTTCTTTATATATTTTGATGCCACACCAATACGGGATTTCTATTTATTGCATTTTGGAGTTGGCAATCTTTTCTCATGCCTCCATCTCCCATTCCCGCCC